GCGGCTGCCCGGGACCTCCTGGCGCACGCCTGTCTCCGACCGGACCGCGAGGCGGGCTGCTGCGGCACGCGGTGGTGCAGGGCCCGGACAACCCGGGAGGCTGGACAGCCCGGGCTTGGCCGAGGGTACTGCCAGCACCATGGCATCGCTGGCCGACCGGGTCCGGGGCAACGGACGCATCGCCGCCGGGCTCCTGTTCAACTTGCTGGTGTCCATCTGCATCGTGTTCCTCAACAAATGGATCTATGTACACCACGGCTTCCCCAATATGAGCCTGACCCTGGTGCACTTCGTGGTCACCTGGCTGGGCTTATACATCTGCCAGAAACTGGACTTCTTTGCTCCCAAAAGTCTGCCTCTCTCCAAGCTCCTCCTCCTGGCCCTCAGCTTCTGTGGCTTTGTGGTCTTCACCAACCTTTCTCTTCAAAACAACACTATAGGCACCTATCAGCTGGCCAAGGCCATGACCACGCCGGTGATCATAGCCATCCAGACCTTCTGGTACCAAAAGAGCTTCTCCGTCAGAATACAGCTCACGATGGTGAGTAGCTGCGCGAGCGCCCTGGCCACCTACCTCGTTGTCTTGCTTCCCGGGAAAATTGAAGGCACTTTGTTTATAAGCCTGGCGCCCCGGACTCATTCCCATCCTCTTGACTCCACATGAGTCTTTAAGATAGTGACTGCCTGGCCTATTTTAGAGAGAAGTGGAGTGGAAAAAGCCATTTGGCACTCCTCTGGCTCTTAGTAAAAGGGTGTGTTCCTGTGGGTTAGAACTACTATGTGATGGAAATTTTTAAATGGTGAGGGGGGAAAGCTGCCTTAGATGGTACAGTTCAAAGTGTCAGGATATCTGCGAAAGCTTAACTTGAAAAGGAAAAAAAAAGGTCCTTCTACCTACGGGGAGTCAAACCACGTATGATAACCGTGAAATGGTGTAGCATTAAATATCTCAGAATATGCCTTCAGCAACATACTGCTGGGATACTTGTACCTTTAAATAAAAGTCATTAAAATGACGTTAGCGGTTAGTAGCTCTTAGTATTTCAGGTCTTAATGCTTTCCCTCTTACATTTGTAAGTACTAGTTTGGTGGTCCATTTACATACCTGGAAATGCATATAGTATTTCCCTGGAAAGCACAGTGCATGGATTCATGATTTTCTCCCAGATGTAGAGTTGTATGTGAATGTCTGCAGAGAAATTACACTAATTTACATAGGATTGTCAGTTTTCCCAACAAAGAAAACATACAGTTCAGTGTTCCCAGTGATGTGTTTCATTAGTTTTGTAAGACACTGTTCTTGAATTTAATCTCAACAGCATTTGCCTCTTTTTCTTTGCAGATCCCTATAACTGTAGGTGTAATCCTAAATTCTTACTACGACGTGAAGTTCCACGCCCTTGGCATGGTGTTTGCTGCCCTTGGGGTGTTAGTCACGTCCCTTTATCAAGTGGTTGGTAATGTTTTTTCTTTATGTGCCTTGTTAGCAGATTTCTTAAATTTTGAAGCTCTATCCCCAGGTTAGAAAATACAGTACAGAGACAATAAACTGTTGGGAAGAAAGACAATTGATAAATTGTCTTAACTTCTGGTGAAGAGGAGACAGAAACTTGGGTATGTGATACCTTTTTGTAAGTGTGCAATATCCATGCTTAACCATCAGAGTTTGGGACAATTTTTTGTTATTATTGTTTTGTTTTTTTCCAGGGAAGTGTTTACAAAAGCAATAAGGCTATGCTTCGTAAGTTTATTGATTATATTTGTCATTGCTCTTAAGAAATGCATACATTTGTAAACATTTGGACATGAAAAAAAATCAGGTGTAAATATTTTAAACTCAAAAGAAGTGTTGGTGTTACAACTCTGATTGACTTTTAATAACTTGTCTGGTCAATAGAGTGATTTCTAGGTTTTTAACTTCTTGTACAAACACAGTACCTTGTCTTTAGCCAGGATATGGTTAAATTTTTTTCATGGGTTCACTTCATTACCATAAATTCCCAACAAGCTGGGTTTTGTGCCCTGTTTAGTGGGGAGAAATAGCAGGGCGTAGGGAACAGTGAAACAGTGTTCTCTATACTAAAAACCTCCGTCTGGACATTCAGGGTGTGCCTGCATGGGGAATCAAAGCCAAAATGTAACCAACGTTACCTCTGTCACAGTATCCACAGGTGATAAAGGAAGGCCTTCTAGTTAGGAATGTTTGTTCAGTACTAGAGCCTAGCACCCAACTCTTTGATGGTAGTGATTGTCCCAGAAACATTGTTACAGAAAATACTATCCCTGGGGGCGGGGTGCTGAGGATTGGACGGACCTACTTGCGCTCTAAGCAGGCACTGTCCACTGAGCTAAAACTCACCTAACAGCTAACAGTTTCCACAACTGCTACTGCTACTGAGACTTCTAGGATGGTTGTCCTGGGGCTCGAACCCAAGACCTCACACACACTAGGGTATTCTACCACCCTCTACATCCCCAGCTCTCTTCACTTTTTATTTTTTACGCTTATTTTGTTTGTATGCATGAGTACAGATGTGTGCATGTACATGCCAGTCCCTATGTGTATGTCGAGGTCAGAGAGCAACTTGCAGAGTCTAACACGTGAGTCCCTAGAATTGAACTTTGTCAGTTAGGTTGAACAGCAGGCACCTTTACCGGCTGAGTCATCTCCTTTTTCTTCTTTTTACTTTTTTGTTGGAGCTGATATTTTGTTTTTGTTTTTTTGTTTTGTCGCTGTTGTTGTTCTTGTTTTAAGACAGGACTGTGTTGCTCTGGCTAACCTGGAACTCACTGTGATCCGTCTGCCTTCCAGAATTAAAGGCATGTGCCACTATACCTGGCCTCCCGTCTTACTTTTTAAGAAAAAACTATAGGCATGTGTTTCCATACCTGGTCTACTTGTTAAATATTAGAGTTTCTTTTACTCCTTATACATAATTCCAGTTCACAACACTCACCATTTTTTTTGTTTGTTTTTGTTTTTTGTTTATTTGTTTAGCTTTTTTTTTTTGGTTTGTTTGGTTGGTTGGTTTTCTTGTGGCCATTTTACTCCCAAAGGAACAAAATGGCCATTTTTGCTTCAGACTTGCTGTAGATTAGGATCAAAAGGTTGGTAGCCCTGGGGCTCACAAGGAGGTTGATCAAGGAGTGACTGAAGACGAAAGCAAAGCTTGGGTCACAGTAAACAGCAGGTACCATGTCAGAGTAGGTAGACCCCAGCACCACAGAGAATTCCCTTTAAACTATTTCAGCTGCCTCTTGTATTCTGTTTGGTTTCTAAGTGGTTTGTTCTGTTGCTGCTGGGAACATTAAGAGAAGCGGAAAGGAGCATCTTCAGCTGTTTACTGGTGGGCTTATTGGTTTGACGACATTTCCTTTATGCTCACCCTGAGGACAGAATGAAGAAAAGCAACGGTAACCCTGCCCTTCAAGATACATATACATATATATATATATATATATATATATATACATATATATATATATATATATATATATACACACACACACACACACACACACACACATATACAGAGTCCATAACCAGCCCCAGTAGTATTCCTCCACTCCCTGGAAGGTCCTGCCGAGGCAGAAATGGCAGTTGTGCACGTGGAATGGCAAGGCTAGAGAGAAGGTTAAGTTGGAGGCACAGTGAAGTATTGAGATCTGTTCTTTAATATGTGTGGAGGCGCAGAGTGTTTGAGGGAAACTTGATGTGTTTAGTGAGGCTAGACTGTAGGTGTGTTGTGAGAGGGTGATGCTGAGTGGGTGGCAAAGTCTTGCTGTCACTCAGAGGAAATGACTTTATTCTGCAGACTCCAGCAAAGATTGGGAGAGGTATTGCCGAGCGTTATAGTTAAAAATGACTCTAATGGCAATGGAGGGTGCAGGGAAAAGGAAAGTGTGAAGAGCCTGGGCTAGGGCAAGTGTAGAGGACAGTAAGACTCTCTGGGAGGAAGAACTATTAGGACCCTACTGGCCAGAAACCAGGACTTTTAAGGAGCTCGGTCTCTGGGGGAGAGGAAACCATTAGGAATGGAGGCAGCACTAGGAAAGCTTATTTATAGACAGGAGGAGCTTGGTCTTAAACATGGCCCTGCTGAGCCCAGCAGTAGTGGCACACACCTTTAATCCCAGCAGAGGCAGGCAGATCTCTGAGTTCAAGGCCAACCTGCCTGGCCTACAGAGCAAGTTTGAGGACAGACAGGGCTACACAGAGAAGCCCTGTCTCAAGGGGTAGGGGGGAACCAATAAATGAAAAATGTGGCCCTGCAGACACAGGAAAGTGACCAGGAAGCTGCGGTGACCAAGAAGTTACAGATACTCAGGGTGTGGAGATGGGGGTGAGGTTGGTGGTAGTGTGCTTGCCCAGCGTACACAAAGCCCTGTGTTCTGTCCCCAGGACCTGGAAGCATTTTTAAAACATGCACAAGGGAAGAAGTAAGGGCTCTAGGAGACCACAGATAGGAAAAGGTGTCTGTTGGTGGTGCTCTGGATGCGGCATGGGAAGTAGGGTGTGGGAGGAATGGTGGCCACCAGAGGCAGGAAGATGAGCCTGCGCTGTCTGCAGCCCTCCTGTTTTCCCTCATTGTAGTATTCCTATAAGCGGGCTGGGGAGAATCAGTCCCTTGTCCTTTCTGTTTTCAGAAGACCCCTAGTGAAAGCTGGCCCGAGCGTGATTCAGATTTCCTGTTTCTCCATTGCAGTCTTTCTGAATTTCTATAGAGTTGCTTTATGTACCAGATACCTAGATGTAGTTCTGCAGGGGCAAAAGCCAGGCTGTTCCTGCCAGATCTGCCTCGAACTGTCAACTCTCCAGAGTCTCTCTAGTCATATTTGTGAAGTATTTTGAGGACATGGTATGTGAGGTTTTTGAGGTTTTTACTGAATGAGACAGTATTTTAGGGTTTCTGTTTACTCTGCTGTGTCCAGGTAGATTGGTGGCATGCGGGAAATCTGCCCCACAGAAGAGTTCTCTGGAGAGGAAAATGTCTTCTGCTACTGTTTGGGTTTTAAAGTGCCTCTGAAGGCCATGTTCCTTTAAAGCCAGACATGGGAGTTCACTTAGAGTAAGAAAGACTGTAGTTCATTGGTCAGTGGTTATCTAGTCCTGCCACAGTCGTTTTTCTCGGTTTTTCCTAATATGTTTATGAAGAAAGCAAACTGGATACTTCTCACCTAACTGCCATTCCCTCCTCATTTCTCTGGTGCCCTGATGCATGGGGCTCCTGGGTGCATATATTCCTGTTACTTAGTAGAATCGGGAGTAGAGGGAGTACTGTTTTCCTAGCCAAGGTATCGAGAAGTCAGTAGATCATCGCATACCGGGTTCACAGAGCTACTTTATCTGAGGTGCTGTCTCCCCACTCTTTAAAACTTTGCAGGATAATGAGGTGCGTCCTCTTCCCTAGCCTGAGCCTGTGCGGCTTTGACTAAACGATGCTTTTCTATGCACCTGACTTGTCTTATCTCCTGATTTTCAGTGGGTGGGCGCCAAGCAACATGAATTGCAGGTGAATTCCATGCAGCTGCTGTACTACCAGGCCCCCATGTCTTCCGCCATGCTGCTGGTGGCTGTGCCTTTCTTTGAGCCAGTGTTGGGAGAGGGAGGAATATTTGGTCCCTGGTCAGTTTCTGCTTTGGTAAGTCCTGATTGTTTTGGTGCCTAAGAAATTGCAGAAGTCATTCCTTTCCTAAGGCAGTGTTTGGATCCCAGAGCACAGCCCCAATTCTCATGGTTGCTCTCTAAGGGAGCCAGGTAAGGGTTATTTTCAGATGAAGAAATGGAGGCACAGGAAAATGAAAGGACTTCCCTCAACTAGGACAGCTGACCAGTGGCAAATCAAGTTGCAGTTCTTATTTTCCAAGCCTGGTTACCTTTCTGTCCATGCCAAACTAGAGTCCACACATAATTTGGGCTTTGAATTTTAATTTTATATTTTTACAACATGATTGTAGAGACAATGACTGTTTTGAATAAAGACTACATACTCATTGGATAGATTTTGAATATACATAAAAATGAATATTAAGAAAGTAGAGCCCCCTGGAAACCTAAGATATCGCATTAGCAATTTTTTGGTTCTGATCTCCTGCCTTGAGAGTCATGTAGAACCTATTGTCTGGTTGCCCAGCAACTTTGTAGATCTCAAGACCCATTACCTGGGCTGGAAACTCTGCTAATGCTCCCTCCTAGGTAATAGAGAAGCAGCCTAGCAGAAGAGGGGAGGAACACAAAGGTGCTGTTCTTTACCAGCCATGTGATCCTGGCCATTCGCTCTACCCTCCTGTGTTCTCCACTGTGAGCCTCCTGATCATTTGTGGGAAACTAAGTTTTGGTTCTCCAATTTGTGTGTGTATGGGTGTGGGTGTGCACATGGAGGCCGGAAGTTGACACTGGGCATCTTCCTCAGTTATGCTCCACTTTTGTTTTTGTAGCAGGGTCTCTCGAGCCCCAGGGATCCTCCTGTCTCCACCTCCCCAGTGTTGGGATTACAGACACACAGCCACTGCCAGCTTTTGCATGAGTTTGGCGTACCTAGACTCAGGCCTCCTCCTTGTAGAGGTGCTTTGTTTATCAAGTACGCCGTCTCCCCACGTCATGGTGCTTGTTATCCTCAAGTAATTTCTAAGTCCTTTCTGTGCATACTGTGTTCCTCACAAGTCCTTGCCAAGAAGTGTTTTTGATTTAAGTAAGAATAAAAATGAACGAGTCATCAGAATTTAATCTGCAAATATCCATGTCCTGATGTTAACAGATGTGCTAGTAGTTGGAACTGTAAATATTCCATAGACCGTTTTGCTTACCTTTATTTTTTGCATTGTTTTTAATGAAAATTTATTGAAGCTGAGTTCAGTGATATATGCCTGTATCTCAACCGCTCAGAAACTGAAGCCAAAGGAATCCTTGTGTCTTTTTTTTGTTGTTGTTTTTTGTTTTTTTAGTTTTTTGTTTCGTTGGTTGGTTGGTTTTTCGAGACAGGGTTTCTCTGTGTAACAGCTCTGGCTGTCCTTGAACTAGTTCTGTAGACCAGGCTGACCTCGAACTCACAGAGATCCTCCTGCCTCTGCCTCCCAATCCCAAATGCTAGGATTAAAAACATGTGCCACCACTGCCTGGCAAAATTCTTATGTCTTATGTAGGTACCTTGTACAATTATAGGGAGACTTTCTGTCTGGGGAAAAAAGAGAGAGAATAGAAAATATTTCTTCCTTAAGTGAGTAAGAAAAAAAATGAACCTAGATACTCACATTCAAGACTATTTTTTTTTGTTTTGTTAGCTTTTTTGCTTACTTTTTAAAGATTATTTATTTTAGTCTGTGTCTGTGTCTTTGGAGTTACAAGGTGGTTGTAAACTAACAGTGCTGGGAACCAGACTTGGGTCCTTTGGAAGAAAAGGAAGCACTCTTAAGTGCTAAGCTATCTCCTAGCCCCCCCTCTTTTGTTTGTTTGCTTTTTTGTTGTGGTTGGTTTATTTTGCTTTTTTTGTTGTTGTTGTTTTAGGTAGCTTCTCATATAGCCAGGCTGGCCTCAGATTCACTGTGTAGCCAAAGCTGCCTTGATCTTCCTGCTTCTCCTTCCCAAATGCTGGGATTACAAGGATCACAGATGTGCTCCAGACACCAGGTCATCACTGCAGAGGTTCCCACTGCTTGTTGGAAAGTTTCTTTGGTTAGTTTTGGCTTACTGAGACAGGGTTTCTCTGTGTAGTCCTAGCTGTCCTGGAACTCCCTTTGTAGAGATCCACCTGCCTCTGCCTCTTGAGTCCTGGGATTAAAGGTGTACCCCACCACTGCCCAGCACCAAGTTGATTTTTTTTTGGTGCAGTGTTTGCTTGTCTGTCTAGTGTGTTTGTTTTGAGACATGCTCTCAATTGCACCTCTGACTGGCCTGGAACTCTGTAAACCACTGCCCAAACTCGTGGTGATCCTCCTACCTCTACCATAATACATGTAGCTGTAGCTGAGATTACCAGCATATGACACCTTGTTTAAATGGGTGGAGTTTGCCAGGCGGTAGTGGCACACACCTTTAATCCCAGTACTTGGGAGACAGAGGCAGGTGGATCTCTGTGAGTTCAAGGCCAGCCTGGTCTACAAGAGCTAGTTCCAGGACAGGCTCCAGAAGCAACACAAAGAAACCCTCTCTCGAAAAACAAAAAAAAAAAAAAAAAAAAAAAAAAAAGGATGAAGTTTTGAAGTTTGCATTATTTCATATTCCTAATGAGACATATTTGTTCCTGGTTTAATGATTCTCTTGGTTCATTTGTAGCTTATGGTACTACTATCTGGAGTAATCGCTTTCATGGTGAACCTATCGATTTATTGGATCATTGGAAACACATCGCCAGTCACGTATCCTTTCCATGTACTTTCAAGTGTGTATACTCTCTGTTTCCCATGTGCTACATTGTTACATGGCCCTTGTTAAGTAGGCTGGTTATTTTAACACTTTTTATTGTTATATTTTATTAGTGTGGGTGTTTTTCTGCATATGTGTCTGTGCACACATGCATGCCTGATGCACTGGAGCCCAGAGAAGCCATCAGATTCCTTGGGACTGAAGTTACAGATGGCTGCTGAGAATTCAACCCAGGTTCTCTGGAAGAGCTGTTAGAGGTCTTAACTGCCGGGACATTGCTATAGCCTCTTAATTTTTAAAAAATGTTTTTCCACACTAGTGTTTATGAAATTTATTAACTGAGGATGAGTTTGCTTCTGGATTTTCTTAGGTAGTAGTGACCTTTCCTCTTATAAAAACTGACTTAGAATCATGACTTGCAGTATTGGGTTTACGTGATATTTATTGAATGAATCATCGAGTGGAAGCTTAGGTTTGAGTCAGTTTTCAGGTATCTATGGTGATGAAGGAGAGGTGGTCAGCTTATGTAACGAATGGTAATTCTGTGCCCTGGCATCTGATTGGAGTGGGTCTGTATTTATTGGAAACAGGTGTTCTTGTTTCCAAATAAGTAAATGTTCTTAATATTCCAAATTTCTTTTTAAAAAATTAAGTTATATGTTGAAGGTCACCTTCCACTGCCAGTTCTCTCCACCCTGCCCGCCACCATGCCTGTCCTTGCATTTCACTTTGCCCTACTTTAGCAAATGTGAAGAATGATTTCCTCGTGTGAAAGAGGTAGTTTGGTGACATTTTATTTAAAGAGTATACTGACTTAAACCTGTAAGCCCAGGACGTAGAAGGCTGAGGCAGAAGGATTGCCATGTATTTGAAGCCAGCCTGCACTATATATACTGAGATCTCATTTATAAAGCTGGAGAAGAAAAAAGTATGCTGATTTATATAAGTGAATAAATACTGAGATGTGTCAGAAATACAAATAGCCTGTTTGCCAAATATCAATAAGTAACAATGATCATAATCTCTTTCAAAAACCCAGTACTTAATATGTATCTTGTGCTGGCTACTGTTGTGTAAACAGATCCTTTAGTTCTCTTTAGAGCTTGGTGAAGGGAAAGTCTGTCATTTCACAGACAAGGAAAAGAGCCACAGAGGTGAAATAACTTGACGCACATAAGACCACACAGTGAAGGGAAAGGGATTGTGGCTCCAAGGTGGAGTATTTGCCAGACTGAGCAGAGCCCTGAGTCCGTCCCCCATTACAGAGTAAGAAGCAAGAGTGCATGGCTGAGACGTGCCCTGCCCGGTGTGTCCCACCAGCTGTGCCTCGTGCCATCAAATCGAGGCCTGAAAGCTCGTGCCTTCATTTAAGGCTTGAGAGTTGGGTCTGTCGTTAAGAGCACTTACTTGATGATCTTCCAGAGGACCCAAGTTCAGCTCCCAGCACCCACAGCTCATAACTGTCTGTAACTCCAGTTCCAGGGGATTCAGTGCCCTCTTCTGGTTTACAGAGACTTACATGCAGGCAAAATATTCATATACATTAAATAAACAACCAAACAAAAATAAACAAAAGCATTAATTCAACTAGTATTTATTGACTAAACACTATAGACCATTACTTAATTTAATGAATCTTTATACAGGCCATGTACTGTGTATAATATTTACTATACATTGTATATTAACACTCAAGGTACTGTAGCGAACCAAAGAAAAATCTCTTCCTTTACAAACTTAAATTCTAGTGAGGAAGCCAGACTGCCAACGTGAAGAAGAATTAAATATGAACATGTAGGATGGGTAGTGTCAAGTGCCACAGAGAAAAAAAATAAAGCAGGAAGGCCAGCATGTAATGCTTGGGGACCAGATTGGAGTTTTAGGTAGGCTACTCAGGTGACTTTTGAAGAAACAAGGTTGTGCTGTCACATTGGGAAGAGCATTTAGACAGGGCAACACCAGGTGACGGGCCTGAGAAGGGCACCTGTGCAGTCGAAGCAGGGTGAGCACAGAAAGCAGGGGAGTGGGCTGAGCAGCAGGGAGAGCTGGGTCGAGTGGAGCGTTCAGGGAAGAACTGTGAGTGCATGAGGTGAGAAACCACTGGAGCCGGGAGCAGAGGTGGCACTGTGGGTCCCTGCAGTGCTGAGCAGGGTTTCTCAGTGCATGCTGTCTGCCTTGAGGCCAAGACTGTTTAGTTTGGGGACCTATGCTATGCTTGCAAGATAGATAGCAACATGGCATATCTCTGCCACTAGGTGCCAGGAGCACCCCAGGCCCCACCCCAGCTGTCAAAAATGTCTGCAGCCATTGTTCACGTGGTTGAAGAAAATTGGACCTGAAAATGTGAGAAAGGAGACCATCAGGAAGTCACTGCAGTTTCTAATTCGTAAATACCAGCTTGTGGGCTGCAGAGGTAGCCCAGCGGCTCAGAGCGCTTGCTCTTTAGCACAGGATCTGAGTCAGTTCTCGGCACCCATGACAGGCAGCTCACAATGGCTTGTAGAAATCTGATACCCTCTTCTGGGTGACACACATGTATAAATGACTCTTTTTTAAGGGACAGAGGAAATGGTGAGAAGTACTGGGCTTCTGGACACATTTCCAAGACCTAACAGCAGGGTTCCTGAACAGTTGAGTGTGGGGAACGCGAAGCAGGAAGTAAGGCTGGGTGCTGTGCAGATAGAGTTCCAGGTGCCGGGTTCAGGGCAGGCCTCAGGGGGATAGTCGTGTCCAGATGAGCTGAAGAGGAGCATTGGAGGGGAGCACTGTGTCAGGTGCTGCTGAGTCGGGTTTGAGGAAGATTGGCAGTTGGCCACTGGCGGTTTTGACCAGAGCACTTGGAGGAAGGCAGAGCCTGACTGGAGCAGACAGAACTGGAGCTTGCGCTCTTTGTTCTCATTTCCTAAAAAGAGCCACCAAAGAGCATCATTAAATTTGCCTTCCCTTTCCATAAATGGCTTTGACAGGCCATGAACTGCCTAGCAGGGCTGGGAGTATTTGAACTAATGTACTAGAAGCAGTATGTTTGAAGGTAGCCCAGAATTGAGATAAGGTGTGATACCATCCTGGTCATAGCTTCCAGATCTCAGCTATCAACTTTACTGAGAAAAAAAAGAAAAGAAAGAAGAAGCAGGTATCCTGGGAGCTACCCACGCTCCTCTGAGGGCTGCCACTGTTTCATGGCAGTGTCAGTAGCCCTGGCTGGTCTCAGATTTACTAGGTGACTGAGGATGACCTCGATCTCCTGAGAGCTGGGATTCCAAGCCTGCATCACCACGTCCAGCTGCATCCAGCTGTGTCCAGCTGCGTTGTTTTGGAACTAAGTAGAGAGCCTGAACGCATAGGTCAGACAGAGCCAGGCCTCTGCCAAGGCCTACCACTTCCTGTGAGCTAAGTGTTGTGGGAGCTCTGAGGCCCCTCTGAGCCAAGGGACGCAGGGTCAGGCTCAGTCAACTCATTGTCTACATCACTGCAGGGGGTTGGGGCAAGAGGGAAGCAGCAAGGAAATTAGGGGAGTAACATCCACAGTGCTGGGCGGTCCTGTCAAACATGGGCGAGGCGTCTTGACAACTTGTGGTTGACTTGATGGTGCTTGCTGTGTACCAGGAGCTTCACAGGTCTTGATCCGTATCAACCACATAAGGAAGGCACAGATCATCCTACCGTTTAATAGGCGAGGAAACCGAGGCATAGAGTGGTAGTTGCCTCTGTGCTGTTTCTAGGAAAAACACAGGTTTGTAGTGTAGAGCAACGCAATATTAGTTTAGATAGAAAAAATAATTATGTGTAAAATATATCAGGAAAATGATTTCTGAGGGGTGTATGTGTGGGTTTTTTTTTTTTTTAAGTATGAACAATGACTTGGGAAACAACCTTAGTCCAGTAATGAATTGCTGGCAGTATCTTAGATTATAACCTGAACTTTGGAGCTAAATAAGTCCGCCTTTGTTTAGACGCCCAGTGCCTGAGCTGTGTCCCTTGGTTATTGCAGTGGGTGAGATGACTCAGCAGGTGTACCTTCCACAGGCCTGGCGACCTGGGCTCAAGGGGCCACATAGTAGCTCCATAAGTTGTCCTCTGACCTCCATACATGTGCCTTGGCATGTATGCACACACACACACACACACACACACACACACACGAGTACATAAATAAAGTATTTTTTTAAATCAGTAGACTCTCTGGGCCTCCAGAGTTGTAAACTGGAGGAGGTGAGAAGCAGTGGAGGCAGTGAGGTGCTTCTGAAGGAACTCCTAACATAGTGCCTGGCTCCGGCTCCTCTCTCCCTTGCCCTCCTAATCTTAGGCATACCCGAAGTTTTCATTGCGTCAACTCCCTGTCACCTGGCACATCTCAGCTCATTGCCAGTGACAGTTTATTAGGAATGCCATTCCATGGTATAGCCGTGAAGTGCTGTGCAGATGTCCCTGCCTCACTCTGCACGCCCTTCCTCCCCAGTGTCACCTCTCTGGAGAGGTCATCAGGAATACTTGAGGCAGTCTCCTGTCACTTTGGAGTGTGTGTTTATGTAGTTTATGTTCAATGTGGAAGAATAGTGTTGGGGCTAGAGAGACAGCTCAACAGTTAAGGGCACACCCACCACTCACACCAGGTGGCCAAAACTGCCTATAACTCCAGCTCCAGGGAATCCAACATCTTCTGGCCTCCATGGGCATCAAGCTCACATGCACAGACATACACACACACACACACACACACACATAATAATAATTTTTAATACAAAGTCACTATTTTCAAATCTATCTGTAAATTGCTAAAACCATGCCCGAAGAAAGTCTGATTGACCCAGCATGTCACGTAAATGTCTGTTCTTTAAATGCCTGGCGGTTGTTGAGTCCATATTACATGAAGCTCTTTCCAGCCACAGGTAGCCTTTATCATGTGTATGCTGTTAGAGCACACCTGTGTGACCCTAACATCTGGCTCATTGCTTCTTTGTCTCCTTACCTGAACACCTCAGCTATAACATGTTTGGACACTTCAAGTTCTGCATCACCCTGTGCGGAGGATACGTGTTATTTAAGGACCCGCTGTCATTTAACCAGGGACTCGGCATCTTATGTACGCTGTTTGGCATCCTCGCCTATACCCACTTTAAACTCAGCGAACAGGAAGGAAGTAAGAGTAAACTGGTCCAACGGCCCTGAGCTTTGGCGGAGAAAAGACTGTACCAAAAAGATGAGAAATGTGTAAGTCTGTGGGAAAGCTACCATGCAAGTCCCCCCAGTGACTTTCAAGAAGTATTTTCTTCAAATATGATGACTGTTAGTACTTTTCATCCAGTTAATTTTCTAAAACCAAAATGGTTAGTGCTTTTCTTCAAAGACTTTCTGAAGCTGGAGCTGTCACTCAGTGGTGCAGCGTTTGCCTCATATGCATAAGACCCTGGGCTCAAACTCCGGCGCCTACGAAGAAAGGCCATGAACTGCATGTAAGATGGTTTCATTCTACCAACTGAGATACAGGAAAGTCGGGCTCTGTAGGAATGACAGAGGGTGCACACTCCAGTGCTGCAGGCCTGCCCTGGCTTGTCTGTGCTTACACAGGACTCCTGCCCGCTAACATGGGTTCCCACTGAGATTAGTGTGTTAGTCACTGTGAGCAAGGAGGCTGCACTTATCAGACACCACCGTTGAGTTACACCCAGAGACCCAGTCAGAATTTAAATTAAAAAGTCGTTTATTTTCTTTATCATTTGGGCAATTATAGTAGATTTGAGACAGGATCTCAAATGTAGCCCTAACTGGTCTGGAATTCTTTTCCATATAGCCCAAACTGGCTTTGAACTCAGAGGTCTGCTTGCCTCTGCCACCACACCTGGCCTTTAACTGCTTTTATTATTTCATTGTAGAACTGAAATGTTCATAGAAAGCAAACTGTCATAGACACGGTCATAGAACAGACCACGGCTCTGGAAGCCCTACTCTTTCAGTAGCAAGCCGATATAAGAAGGTCTTCCCTGTCAAACAGGGCAGGACTGCTTGAGGCAAGGCCCACTCAGCAACACAGACTCTGCCTGTGCTAGTGTCTGTGGTCGGAAGTAACTGGGTTGGCAGATGGCCGTCTCATTGGTCTTCACATGGCTTTGAGCTTTCAGTGAGCTCCAGCTACTGTTCATGGAATTAGAAAGCAAAATTAAATCCCACGATTAAATGTCTCAAAGAAAGGCCTATAGGCCAGAGGGAATAGTCCCACAATAGAGTACCTGCCTAGCGTGCACGAGGCCCTGGTTACAATCCCCCAGCAACCACAAAAGCAGACTGTACATGGAAATAGGCAGGGCTCTCTGCCCTGGTAACTGCTGTCCAGCTTGCTTGGACATTTCACCTTACTGATTTCTGCTATGGCCTCCATTCCAGCACCCCGCCCCACCCCACCTCCCCACCTTCCACAGAATGAAGCGGTGTGGAGGGAGCAATGTATGCGTGGGAAATAGGGAGGATGTGAAAGAGAAGTGAAAACACTAGCTAGCTGTGTGAGATTTCAGAGGGGTGGAGAAGGATTTTTAATTGAGATGCTGGCAGAATGTGTGGTCTCCAGCAAAATAGGGTACTGTGTCTGCCTTGAGTATCGTAACATTTCACCATTGCAAGCTCCATTGATGACCTCACAAGAGTAGGGTCTCTCCTCTTGAAATAACTTTTTCTGGACATACACTCTCTGTGAGAAAACAACTAAGGCAAAGAGCCATGTATGTATCTATACTGCGACGACCGATTTTATCTTAGATTTTTTTTTTTTTCACAGAGAAAGGTAACTTTTAGTATCTCTTAGGGTCTTTTGGTTTTCCAAGACAGGGGTTCTCTGTGTAGCCCTGACTGTACTGTAACTCTCTGTAGACCAGGCTGGCCTCGAACCTTCCTCTGCCTCCTGGATGCTGGGACTAAAGGTGTGTGCTAACACTGCCCAGCATTTTTTAGTTTTTTAACCAAATAAAAAACCATGGGTTCTATCCCGAGCACTGCCAAAACAAAAACAAAACTTTCAAGAAATCAGGAAACGGGCTGCAAGTTCCTTGGCCATGTAGACCACTTGGACTTCCAGGGCAGCCTGAATTAATGCTGAGATCCTGTTAGCAGGAAATAAAAGGGAAAGGCAATATACCTGTGTTCAGGATCGTGTGTTTGGAGAATTTCACTGTGTCGGTCTGTTGTATGTCAGTGTATGTGCTGCTATGTTTTTATTCTGTTTACAGAACTAAGAACTGCAGAACACATGCATTATGCTTAAGCATTTTCTATGTGTGTTTAAATTAGTGTGTAACTGTTTCCCAAAAGCTGAAGACATGATATTCCAGCACAGAGGTCATCTGGTTTTTGATCATTAACAACTGAGTTTATTTGTGCTGTGTACCAGCTCTTAACTGTCAATAAAACCTGGGGACAGAGGATGATCCGAAAAGGAAGGTGTAATGAGTGGGAGGTTCCATAGGGATGAGTAACAAGGCTGGAGAGAGATAAGTAAAGCTGTGTCTGCATACATGAATGAACTGCTATTGGAACTACAGGCTGATAAGCATTTTTCACCCAAAGATGATCGTCAAATTGAAAAGAAAGTTTCCAAGGAAAATGCACCAATACCCTAGCAAGCACAGGGACCGACTAGACACAGGACTCTTGTTGGGTTTGGGTTGGTTTTTTTGTTTTGTTTTTTTGTTGTTTGTTTATTTTGTTTTGTTTTGTTTTGTTGAGCCTGTCCTGGAACTAGCTCTTATAGACCTCAAACTCACAGAGATCCGCCTGCCTCTGCCTCCTGAGTGCTAGGATTAAAGGCATGCGCCACCGTGCAACTCTGGGTTTAGTTTTTATCCGTGGACTACAGCTCATGAAGGTGAGGTCCGTGTGTGATGTGCTGCGTGGCTGTGTGTGCAGACTCACAGCTCCACTGCAGCAGAAGTCCAATCCCTTTTCAGTCCATGTGTGTGAGGGGCGCTATGTAGACGGCTCAGTGGGTTAAAATACTGGCTACCCAGGCATGAGGACCCAGATTTGAGTCCCTAGTCACCCACATTAAAAGAGAAAAACAAAAAAGCCACGTGGGGTGGTACACACCTTTAATTCCAGTGCTCCGGAAGCAGAGGCAGGTGGACCTCTGAGTTTGAGGCCAGCTTGATCTGCAAAGTGAGTTCCAGGGCTACACACTGAGACCCTGTCTTAAAGCAAAACAAAACAGGATTGGGGGACCGGAGAGATGACTTGGTGGGTAAGAGCGCTGACTGCTCTTCCAAGGAGCTGGTTTGATTCCTGGCATCCGCATGACAGTTCCTAACCATCTAGAACTCTAGTTCCAGGAGATCTTTCCTGGCTCTGTAGGCACCGGATGTGCAAGTGGTGCACAGACACACATAATTTTGTGTAACTGTGACTTGAACTGAGAAGTCTGCCTGCCTCTGCCTCCGAAAAGGCATGTGCCACCCTGCCTGTCCATACATAAAATTTTTAAAATAAAAGCTAGAAAACCCTTGATTTCTGTACTGTGGGAAGGAGGGACAGGAGGATCCCTGGGACCCAGTCTGGCTTCAGGTTCTGTGAGAGGTCTCAAGGGCACAGGCAGTGAGTGACAGCAGAACACTGCAGTCATCTCTGACAGTGCCTGCAGCACACAGGTGCACACACCCATTCACTGCACTGCAGGAAACAAAGCATCAAGATACAGCAAGAATCAAGTGTGGTTGTGCAGCACTTAATCCCAGTACTCAGGAGATAAAACTGGGTGGATCTTTGGAGTTGGAAGCCAGCCTAAGCTATATAGAGAATTCTAGATCTAGTCAGGGCTGTTAGCACCTGTTCTGGGTTGAAAAGGAAAGCCATGCTTGCTGAGGATGCAGTTAGCTATTTGCAACTTCAGGCATGCCTCTGAACATTCTCTCTCTCTCTCTCTCTCTCTCTCTCTCTCTCTCTCTCTCTCTCAGTATGTGGGGGGGGTACTGTCTCGATCACAATGGATAAACTAAGAAATGCAGTCTTTCTTTGCTTTATTTTAAAAATACTTCCTAAAGACTTGCCGTTTTAAAATCACCAATGTCCTAAAACTTATTTCTGAGCAACATTAATCACTCAAACCACAGTACGCTTCTTGTTTTGAGATGGCATCTCCTGTAGCCAGACCAGCCTTGATTGACAACTGCGGAGGCTGCAGCCTTCTCGCCTTCGCCTCCAGAGTGCTGGGATTGCAGGTGTGAACCAGCACACCCGGCTAAATGTTTAAGTTTTAAGGTTTTCCTTTCAAACCAAATCATTTGTACCCAGCATGTGTCTTCGTTCTTCTCTTGCTGTGTCTGAGTCACTCTGAAGTCAGTTTCCTGTTTCTGCAGTTCCTCTTTTCTCAGTTAGAAATCAGGCCTACGTTCAGCACAGGAGAGGTCTTACCAGGTCGCAGTGGGGGACACAGCCTGGATAGGACTCCCTGAGGCAATGTCTCGGCTCTGGGTCTGTCTCTGACTGGAATTCAAGAGCCAGGCCAACCCTCATGGCCTGTATGTCTTGGGGAATTATGGAGAGACTCACTGACCACACTTGGAAGACTCAAAAAGGGAAACAAAAAGTTAATGTGTCTAGTGTTTTGCTTGCATGTATGTCTGCATCACAAGCTTGGCTGGTTCTTACAGAGGCCAGAAGAGGGCATTGAATACCCTGGAGCTGAGTTAAAATGGTTGTGAGCCCTGTGGATACTGTGTCCTCTTCAAGGGCTCTTGACCACTTAGCCATCTCCGGCACTTAAAATGTGGAAGGGCTGGGTCGTGGTGAGGCACACCCTTAATCCCAGCACTCGGGAGGCAGAGGCAGGCAGATCTCTGAGTTTGAGGCCAGCCTGGTCTACAAGAACTAGTTCCAGGACAGGCTCCAAAGCTACAGAGAAACCCTGTCTCAGAAAAAAAAAAAAAAATGTGAACAGGAGGGAAAAAAAGACAAGAAAGGTAAAATGATTGGCTTTTCATCCCAAGTATTCACTTTTGCTCTCTTCTGCCCTGAGTTTTAAGTGAGTGATTCTCTGTCCTTGTCACCGTAGAGTCAGGGCTGGTCCTGTACCACCTCACAAGTGGAGCACAAGCAAATTTGAGGGGTTTATGGGGAACCTTCTGCTCTTGTGGCTGCTGGTGCCTCGTCCTAGCTCTTTCAGGGTCCAGTCCAGCTGTGGCTGCGGCAGCAGCGCCCCTCTCCAGGCTGCAGGCCGCCTCTCCAGGTTGGGAAGGACAACTCTATTCCCTGACAGTGCTTTTAGTTTTCTTTCTCACAGCAGTGGGTGTATCCCTGAGCATCTGGATGTCATTGTGTTTGTTTTGTTTCTTGTAATATTTTAAGATTTATTTTATGTGTGAGTGTTTTGCCTGCATGTGTGCCTGTGCACCGTGTATGTGCCTGGTGTCCAGAGGTCAGAAGAGGGTGTAGAATCCCTTGGAACTAGAGTTAAGGATGACTGTCAACTCCCTGACAGTGGATGCTGGGAACCAAACCTAGGTTCTCTACAGGAGCAGCAAGTATTGTTGACCACTGAACCATCCCTCCAGCGCTACATCCATGTGCTTTTATCTGGGCAGGTGAGGTTTTAGGGCTCAGAGAGACAATTAAATATAGCCCATTATGAATAGACTAGTAGAACCCTGGTCTTAGCCATTCTTCCATTTATGGAGCACTAAACTCTGGATCATTGGATTGATAGGAGAGAGTGGTTTGGTGGCCATATAGACTTGGATAGAGTAATAAAGCCATTTGAACCAGAAGCAAACTTTCCCACCAGGTGCAAAGAGCCTGCTTTGTCCTTCATTGTCCTCTTTTTATTCCCCAACTCTGGGCATGCTAACTGCACAGTACCCCAACTCTGGGCATGCTAACTGCACAGTACCCCAACTCTGGGCATGCTAACCGCACAGTACTCCTGTGTTACATCCTTGTGCCCATTAACTCCTCCCCACCATCCACACTTGCTCCCCAGTTTTGCTTCAAGAAATACTGGGAGAACAAAAAAAACGGTCTCATCAGTGAGTCACACTCAAGTCTTGGAACTGAGCTTCAGTGTGAAGTGTGAAAAGCTGGAGCAGAGGTTCTCAACCTGTGGGTCGGGACCCCTTTAAGGTCACTGACCCTTTCACCTAAGACCATCCTGCATATCAAATATTTACATCACAATTCACAACAGTAGCAAAATGACAGTTATGAAGTAGCAATGCAAATAATTTTATGGCTGGGGTCAGTACAACATGAGGAACTGTATTAAAGGGTCGTAGCGTTGGGAAGGCTGAGAACCACTGCTCTAGAGGAAACCGCATAGTTTCCTAGCGTCCAGGCACAGACAGTCATCAGAGTGGGGTGCTGGCCTTTATGAGCAGACCCTAGGACAGTCAGCACCAGGAATGTGCCGGTGGTCTTTGCTGTTGCTTCCACATAAGCTGGGTATACTCTGGTTCGAATAAGAATCTCTTTTGCCCTGCTAAGAGGCCCTTTTTTCCAACCTATCTATATATCCATCCACCCCTCACCTCCCATGGTGCCTTGTACCGGTTCTCATGTGCAAAGCCCAGGTCTTTAGAATTCACACACCACACATCGGGAGGCATGGGAAGAAATTCTAAGGAATGGGGGCGAGGGGGTGGGGGTCCTGCAGCCCTGCTTTTTTGTGGGGTGACCAAATAGACAGCTCTTCAGCCACATTCAAAGCCATTCCTTAAATTCATAAGGAATGTGATGAGGCCGACATCCAGTGCTTGTACTCAGTGCTCGTTTCAGGGTCAGCAAACCTGAGTGTCACATCTCCACTTGTTGAGGAATATTCCTGTACACTGTGTAAAACTGTATTGCTCTGATTGGTGTAATAAAAAGCTGAACAGCCAAAAGCTAAGCAGAAGGTACAGGTGAGACTTCGGGGCAGAGAGACAATTCTGGGGAAAAGAAAAAGAGGAGTCGCCAGCCAGACTTGGAGGAAGCAGGATAAGCAGTGCAGAGTAAAGGGAACCGAGCCACGTAAAAGAACATAGTTTTGAAAATATGGGTTAATTTAAGTTATAAGAACCAGTTAGGAACAAGCCTAAGTTAAGACCAAGATTTCGTAATTAATAAGAAGTCTTGGACTGGAGAGATGGCTCAAAGGTTAAGAGCACTGCCTACTCTTCCAAAGGTCCTGAGTTCAATTCCCAGCAACCACATGGTGGCTCACAACCACCTGTAAGGAGATCTGGCACTCTCACCGGGCGGTGGTGGTACACGCCTTTAATCCCAGCACTTGGGAGGCAGAAGTAGGTGGATCTCTTATGAGTTCAAGGCCAGCCAGTGCCTTCTAGGTCAGGCTCCATTCTTACTGAGAAACTCTGTCTCGACAAAAATGTACAGAGATGTTGCGCCCTCTTCTGGCAGGCAGAATACTGTACATAATAAATCATTAAAAAAGAAAGAAATCTCC